TGGAGCCCATCTACCTGGCCAAGTAAGGGGAAGCTGGAGCCCATGTACCTGGCCAGGTGAGGCTGCAGTGCTGGCGGTAGTAGTGGTGACAGCAGGTCCTGCTGCCCTCCTACCGGGGCTCCCTGCTGCCTGCAGCTTCCCTTTGTGCTGGCTGAGGGATACCAGCCTGCTAGCTGTCACTGCAGGCAGCACTGGGCCAATAGAACCCTTCTGCTCTCCTCCTGCTCACCCCAGACCTACCAGGAAGGCTACAGCACGGTCCGTGCCCACTTCTGCACAGCAGGACCAACTCTAAGAGGAAGAGGGGGGAAAAAAAAAAGAAAGAGTCTGGCTATGGGGTGCACAGGAAGCCATGAGCCTGCAGCCTCTCCCTTCCCGCAGCCGCTCTTGCCTCCCAGCAAGGGCCAAAGGCCTCCCAACTTCCCAGCACCTACACAGCTGGTTCACATTTGAGCTTAAACAAAAACACAGGCATGTGCTCCAACCAGACAACTGGGGCATTATTCAGTTAGCAGCATCGGGACGCTGCTCCCCCCCTCGCTCCCCATGCCTTATTATAGAACTTTAAACACTATTGATTAAATTGAAGCAGGGTTTCTCTAGCTTCAGCCCGTATCTCACATTCTCCCCTACCAAATCCAATCTCGGTATGTCTGTGAGCTATTTGGCATCCACTGTTTTTTAAGAAACATAAGAGTTTTATTTCCTGCTGAATTGACCCACGGGGAACAATTGCCCACAGAACCTTTTTATTAGACTCCTCATAAACAGTGAGGGCTGTAGGGAAAGTAGTAAACTCACCATTATTGTTTTACCATCATACAACAAATGCACAGCTCGTGGGTTAGGGAAACCCTGTGTGAGCAGTGCCTGCGTGCAAGCTGCCATCCCAGCTACCAGCATGGCACCCTGTGGGGATGGCACCCTGTGCGTTGTGTCCTCTGCAGCCAGCTCCCCATTGGCAGTTAATGGAAGGCAATGAGAAGCTCATCAGGTAGATAGGTGAGCTTGTGGGGTGTTTTGGAGGCCGGAATGAGCCTGCTTGAAACCAGACTGAACGACCGAGTGCAGCTGGGGAAGGGGCCCTACCTGTGAGCGTATCTTCAGTGCTGGCCCCAGCTTCAGCCCCATGTTGTTCAGCAGGTGCTCCTCTGTCAGCAAGGGCAGGGTCTCACCATCAATGGCCTGCTCACGGAATACCTGCAGGGAAGGGAGCAGGAGCCGGGCTCAGCACAGAGCAGCAGCACTGCAGGCCATTATCCATGCACGAGACACAGGAGGAAAGCATCTCCACTCTGACAACCCCTGGGGTCACTCCTACTGTTTGGAGAAAGCGGAGCCATCTGGCTTGTAAAGCACAGCAGCCTTCAGTGGGCACATGCAGCCCTCACCCTGCTGGCTGATAAAAAAGCAACTCCACAGAACGCATTCTAATGCACCCAGCCTTGCTCAACTGTGCCATCTGAATGCATTTTTAAACCTGCCCCCATCTATCTCTGTGGGCAAGGTGATGCAGGAGTTCTGTGCTGTGAAGGGCTGCACACATGGGCTTATTGTTCCTTCAAACTAAGCAAGCCAGGTTCTGGGCCACATCAATCCCATGCCCATTGTGTTGGGTTTGTTGGGTTCTTGCACCCCCTGGCCTTTTCCCACACGAGCATCCCAATCCCACAGCCTCTGCACATGGCACTGCCATCACCCAGCAGCACAGCGAGGGCAGCTTTCCACTCCATCAGATTGCAGGCCGTGTTTTTTATCGCTGGGCTCCACAAGCAAAACTGCTTATGACTGCAGTGTGTGTTTCTGCTCTTTGACCCTGCGAAACTTAATATGCCCGTTTCCTTCCTCCGAAGACAGCGTGGCCAGGAGCCAGCAGCCTCCCTCCCTTCAGTGCTAAAACCCAAACTGAGCAAAGCAGCCGTCCTCCCCAGCTGTCCCACGGGTGCTGAGCCACCACGGGGACAAAGCTACGTATTGTTGCTGAAGCCTCATCTGCCCACGATGCCCGAGCAAAGCTGCCAAGAGCCGAGCTGTGTGCCCCCAGGGATGGTGGCACGGATGGCATCCCCAGCACAGAGCATTACCTGAGTGTATTCAGTGCAGCCCGCCAGGTTGGACACGAAGCTGCACACGTCCTCCACCGTCCATTTGCTGATGTCCTCCAGTGCTGGGCTCTCATCGCCATCCAGAAAGAGACCTCCCATAGTGCCTGGGTCAGGGGTGGGAGGGAGGGGTGGGGAAAGGCACATAAATCATTAAAATCCCACACGGGCAACAGCCAGCCTGCAATCTGAATATTTTTCTCCAGCCACACATTCATCTTTAATGACCTGTCAATTAAAGCGTTGGGCAGGGTCAATTCATAGCTTCTTCCTCCTGGAGGTCCCCAGCTTAGCAAGGGGGGCAGGGAAAGGAAAAATCCTAGCTAATGCATTGCATGTGTGCAATGTGCTTCAGCTGCAGGGAAGAGACGGGGGGGGAAGGGAGCAAAGAGAGGGGGGGAAAAAGGGGAAAAAGGCACAGAACCCAGAGAAGCAGCTCAGTGCCCAGGCTGGGGGCTGTGCCCAGCTCCAGCCCTGCTCTGCCGTGCTGGCAGCTCGCACAATGATAACAAATAGGCAGCGGGCAGCTCGGAGGGATGCACCTTCTGTTCTAATAATGACATGTCACCGGGTGCTGCCGGCCCGGAGGATGCGAGAAGGGCAGCGTTGTTCCCTGCCAAGCCTCTGTCTGCCTCGGTGATAAATGATGGGCCGACGGAGCGGTAATGGATTGTGGAGCAGCACGCAGATGGGGCCCAGCGTGCGGCACCGAGCGGCGCCCATCGTCCCAAGGCAGTGCCCCACGGACAGGTGTCACAGCACGGCCCTCGTGTCCCTGCTGCAACCCAACCCAAAGCCGACCTGCCTGTCATTTTTCCTCCAGCCGTTTTGGAAGAGCTGGGAACTCTCTGCAGCCTCTGCTACGGGGATGCACGGAGCAAAAGAGCCCTTAGGAAAAGACCCAGGGCTTGCTCTGCGAAGCAGCAGCGAAATCGGGAACGCTGATCGCTGCCAAAGCCTGCAGACAGCGCTGGTGATGGAAATGCAAAGCGATGATAATAAATGGCTGTTAAGGAACTGGCGGTGCCGGGGGCAGCGAGCCCACCCGCAGCACGGCTCCCTGCCGAGCCCCAGCGCCGCGCTGCCTCCTGCTAATTGCTCTGCTAATTGCTGCGAGCTGAGGTGGGTTCGGGCTTTTGGCTGACGGAGAGGTGGTGCGGTGGATTCCCTGCCTTGTCCCAGCCGTGCAGTTTGCTGCAGGGGGCGATTACACACACACACACACAGCCCAACGATTTGGGCTTGGAAACTGAGTGAGCTCCTCCCTTCCCAGCACACCACTTCTGGCCGTTCCCATTAAGAATTCCCACTGCCTCTTCCTGAAGCTGTCCATGGCCCCCGGGTGAAGGTCCCTGCAATGGGGAGATGCCTCCATCCATCACACTATCCAGCCTGTGCGTGTGGCTTGGACTCAACTTTGTCCCTGCTGGCAATTATCACCATCCTTGTCTTCCCTCAGTGCAAACGGAGACCTTTAAGCTCATTAAAAGGTGTTTGCTTCCCGCAGCCACAGAGAAGAACCATAGAATCAATAAGGTTGGAAAAGACCACTTAAAACATCAAGATCCCCCCCCTGCCCCATCACCACCATGCCCACACACACAACCACAGAGTCCGTAAAGCTGGAAAAGACCTCTAAGAGGCTGACCCACCACCATCACCACGTTCACTCACAGAATCATCAAACCACAGAACCATCACGGTTGGAAAAGACCATCAGATCATCCCATGCAACGCCACGTCCCTCAGTGCCACATCTCCATGGTTTTTGAGCTCATCCACGGGCAGTGACTCCACCGCCTCCCTGAAGACCCTTTTCCCAACACCCAGCCCCGCTCTTCGGCACACTGCTGCACCCTGAAACCCACCTGCATGGAAGTAGGGGCTCATGGTGTAGGGGAAGCCGAAAGGCAGAGGCTGAGGCGGCGGGATGGAGGCTGGCGGCAGGTACTTCACCTCGCTCTTGTTGATGCCAGCACCAAGCAGGTGGCTGGGGGACTCAGCGCTGGAGGAGCTGCAGGGCGCATTCTGGCTGCCGGTCCCTTCGCCCAGCTCCTTGCCCCCCTCGCACCCTTTGCCCGTCTCTTTGCACTCCTTCAGCTCCGTGGCTGAGCCGCTGCTCTCTGCCTTCAAGCTCTCCGCTTTCTCATCGCTGACGTCGGCGTCGCTCTCCGAGTCCTTCATCTCCTCGTCATTACAGTCCTGTGCTCCGTCCCGCGCCCTCGGCTCCGCCGCTTCCTTGGCCTCGCTGGTTCCCTGCGGCTCGGCACGGTGATGTGCCGCCTTCCGGCTGCCCCGCCGCGGCTGTTCCTTGGGCGGCGTGGAGCTGCTGGGGATGCTGGGGTTGAGGGACAGCAGCGGTGCGTTGTTGTGCCGCAGCACCAGCATGGCGTTGCGTCGCGACAGCTCGTCCCGCAGCGGGTGGCCCTCGGGGATGTCGTGCACGTTGCGCAGGGCGGGGTGGTCCGGGGGCAAGCCGGGGTGCAGGCTTAGAGGGTCACCGGCCAGCAGTCGTTGCCGGTGAAGGTTCTCCAGCTCCTTCTGGCGGATGATCTCAGCCGACATCTCCAACCTGCAAGGAGAGAAATGGGGGAAAATGGGAGAGGGGGCTCCAAAGCTTGCTAAGCCTCCCTGGAGCCCGGGGGCGCCTCAAGTACAGCCCCCCTGCACACCCACAGCCATTTGTCTCGCCTGGCCAGGCTCCTTAGGCGCAGCTCCTCCAGACTGGCATCGTGCATCATTCCACAGGTGAAGGGGAAAGGCAACGGGAGGCAAAACAAGGCAGCGGAAGGGTAGCAAAGGGAACAGAGGGCAATGGAAGGTAATGGAAGGGAAAGGAAAGGAAGGGGAGGCAAGAGGAATAACAGAAGGGAAGGCAAAGGAAGGCAACAGAACGAAAGGGAAAGGATAATAGAAGGTTATGAAAGAGAAGGGAAAATAATGGATGGCAACTGAAGGGAACGGAAGGCAATAGGAGGCAATGGAATGTAATGGAAGCCAAGAGAGTGTAATGGGAAACAACAGAAGGCAACGGGAGGCAGTGGAAGGCAACGGGAGGCTTGTCTTCTGCACCAACCCTCTGTACTCCTTACCTTGCCAGGTTTTGCTTTCGTAGCATCTCTTGCTGCCGTGCAAACATCTCTGCTTGTGCCGGCTGTAGGAACCCGTAACCTGGGGACAGGGAGAAGAACACTGGGTTATTCATCTCTGCGTGCAATCCTGGCTCACCCAGGAGGGCCAGCTCTCCAGAGGGCTGTGCAGGGAAGGGCTGTGCTCACCTGGTGTCTGGCACAGGGCTGAAGGCACCCCGAGGAAAGGAGGTCGCAAGTGGGGCCCCAGGGCAATATGGGGAGCGTTCTGGGGCGAGAGCAGAGGCGGTGGGTGGGTTATCTCCCTGCAGGAAACAAAAGAAATCCATGCTGAACACCTGGAAGCAGTGATGGGAGGGTGCTGGCTTAGGCAGAGCATCCCTTCTGTGCACCAAGGCTGAGATAAAAAGATGTCCACTGCCCATATGTAGAACTTGAAAAGAGGAATGCAAGCAGGGAGTGGAGTCCATGCCAAGAATTGCTTTGGGAGCTGGATGGGCCGGTCAGTGAGCTGGAGGAGATGTGAGGGGTGGGAAGGGGACAATGCATGGAAGCACGGCAGGTAGAGCTTGCTTGCTTGCAAAGAAAAAAAATAGGAGAAAACAAGAACATGCAAGAAAGGAATAGGAGCCAAGGTCTCTTCCATTAGTCAAATCTGCCCTGGGAGCCTGCAAGCAAATCTCTGCTTTCCGGCTGCACGTCTCTTAATTCCTTTTGATGGCCACTTACAACATTATTACCTTCACCGGGGCATCCAGAGGCAGAGCCAAGTGCTGCGCCATTTATTTTCATTTTACAGCATCTCCCCATAAAATCTGCTTTGGGAGAGACTGGAAGGCAGCAGGGAGGAATGGGGACGTGTGAGTGTGGGACAAGGGGAGAATCCCAGGCGGGGACGGATCGCCAACAGGGCACACAGCGTGAGGTGCCACGGGCAGATGGCTGCACAGCACTGCAGCTTTCCAACTGCAAGAGAAGGATGCCGCCCTCTGAAATTCCTCCCTTTCCCGGCCGCCTCCGGCTCTCCTTCCCTCCCTCCTTCCTCCCCTAGCTCTCCTCTAAACTAATTGCACAGCTCGCCGTGTCTGGAGGAGAGCCACGGATCGATCCGTCGCTGCTGAAATGTTAATGCTAATCGTATAACCGCTCCGCCAGCACCTCGCACTTCGGTGGCAGCTCCAATTAATCTCAGGTAACGCAGCGCCGTGACCTTCGGCTCCGAGCCGGGGCAGCAGCCAAGCGATGCTTATGTAATTACACCATGAAGTGTGTAATCACCTGCCCTAATCCCCGAGGCCTCACAATTAGCTGAGGCCTCGGTCGCTGGGCTGCCAAGTGCTTTGCCACCCCGGACAGCCTGCAGATGAATAACGGACAATTAAAGCGGCATGACGGGGGCGAGGAGGTGTCCGTTCGATCGTAATTAGCTGTAATCATGGGGAGACGAGGCTGGCAGACGTGCTGTTCGTTTGATAAGAAGCAATTTAGGGAACGGAGTCGGCTTTTAACCGTTCCCCGGCCAGGCAAACGCTGCGTGCACCCCCGTATCTGTGGGCACGGAGAAGGGGAATCGGTGTGGGGAGAGCGGGGCTGCCCACAGAGATGCTTAAAAACCCAGATTTTAGCTGAGAAGAGTCAATCTGTGCTGGGGACCAGGGCTGGGCATGGGGAAAATGGAAGGCTCTCTGGTTAGAGGCAAGCAGAGCGTTAACCAGAGGACGGTTTTGTGCGTAAGGTTGCACGCTGTGATCCCAAAGGAATCCACACCCGCTCTTGCTCAGCCCCTCTGCTCCATGAGGAGCTGCGCCACCCCCGGCCCTGCAGGAGCTGAGATGCTCAGGGCTGGGAAGCGATGCTCCGCTGGGAAGGAGGGACCGTGCTGCCATGCACATGGCCAACAGCGGCGGGGACCCCAATGGGATGTGGAGATGCAGCCTCAGACCAAAAGCCAAAGCCTCGCGCCCTCCTCCCTCAGGCAGATCTCAGCCTTCAGCTGATCCTCCCCTTCCTCCTCTTCTTCTGCCTCCCTGACGAAGGGCTGAGCTGCACTCCCAGAACACCAACGCAGCCCTGGGCCATCGCATCCGATAAGCCTCGCCTTTGCAACGAGCAATTCTGTGACCGTCAGAGTGCTCCTGCATATTGCCCCCAGCCCTCTTTGCCCCCCTGCCATGCCAGCTGGAGCCTCCCGAGCACAGTATTAGGGGATTTGCACTGCATGCTGCTAAATTTGATATGTCCTTTAACAGGAGACAAATGGTTCGCAAGGCTTAAAAAGTATCGACTTTTCCTTAACAATAAGCGCTAATGGCCTTCAAATAATCAATATTTAAAGTCATTATGGGGTTACACATTATACTGTTAAATCGGAGCCTCACGCTTTAACCCCATCGCATCCTCCCAGCGTGCTCCAAAGGCTGCACTGGGAGATGGGAGCGGGGCTGGGAACGCAGATTGGAAGCGGCAAGGCGTGGAAATAAATTTAGAACGGCTGGAAGAAGGGGGAATAAGAAGGCATGAGAGCTCTGCTCCCTTCTGCTCTGCGTTTGATAGGAAGAGACACTTGAAACCCGAGGTAAGAGGCAGGCGGCACGCAGCTCGGGGCTGGCTGGCTGTGCTGGCAGCAGGCTGCAGCCATCATCACGACACCTCCCAGCTCCATCCTTCCTCCTTCCAAACCTTTTTCTAGCTCCAACCCCAACCGCCCTCCCCTACAACCTGCCTTCTGTAGGAGCTCCATCCCTGAACCCACCTGGAACCCCAGCCCTGCGCCCACCAAGCTGCTTCTGCTGCTGGGAATGGAGCAGCCTACATCCCACCTGCAGTCTGCCTCCATCACCACCTCCTCAATGCTCAGTGCCCACCTGAACCTCTGAAATTTCTTACCCCTCTGAAGCAGAGGTGCACAAAAGCTGCTTTGATTTACCCTGATACAGAGCATGGCCCAAGTGCCCTGCTGACAGCTGCAGGCAGGACACATGCTAGGAGTTAACCCACAGCAAGAGTTAACCCATGGCAGGAGTTAACCCAGTGCTTTCCTGCTTAGCACTGTGCAGCATCCCAACAGCTCTTGGGGTGCTCAGGCACCCAAGGAGACTGCACCAGGAGCAGGATGCACAGACAGGGCTCTGCTGCTGGTGTCTCAGGCCTGGAGCTGCTGGATTGGACCGTGCTTCCTTTGCTTCCCTGCCTCATTCCCACTGACACAACTCGTTCTGCTTGTGTGCAAGCTGGCACGTGGCTGCCAACATCCTGCTTTGTGCTGCTCTGCTTTGACTGCAGTTCTCAGGGACCTTCCTGGACCGTATGCTTTCAAAGCAAGGAAAATGATCACAATGAGGGAAAGTGAAGCATAGGGCGACTTCTTGAGGGCTGCACACACAGCTGGCACAGGTACCCAGCAGCCTTATGGAAGGGCCACACCTGGGGGTGCTTCATGCATCTGCACTGTGGGCATCCAAATGGGGGGGAGGGAGGGTGACCCAAAGGGCAGGGGAAGGTCTGCGCCCAGCCCTGTGGGATTCCTCTGCTCTGGATGGAAGGCGGAGGCTGCAGATCCTGTGAGCATCCCCACCTCCCAGCTCTGGTGGGGAGGCACGAAGCACTCAGTTCATTTCCCTCTGGAGTTGCTGATTGCAGAGGGCACGGCTGGGGATGGGAGGGCCGGCTTCCCAGCACTGCTGGCAGCAGGAGAGAGAAGCCTCGCCTCCTTCTTCCTCAAAAAAAAATAAAAAATAAAAAAAATAAAAGGAAATTTCTTCTCTTTTTCTTCCATCCCAGCACATTCCTTCTGTCTCTCATCTGGAGAAGCCACAAAAGTCAAACTTCAACGTCTCCACTTCGCTCTGGGCAGAGCCGGGCAGGGGGTCTGGGCTCCCCACAGCCACAGGGTGGGCGCATCGCCTTCTGAACACCCCATGTTACACCTGCATGAACTGCAGCCCCCCTCCCCAGCCCCGCAGCGGTGGGTTACCTGTCGGGGAAGTGGCTGTCCCTGTGCTGGGGGAGGCCCTGCTTCCTGCGTTGCGAGGACGAATTGCCGGCAGTGGGGATGTGAGCTTCCATCGCTCCCGGGTTCCGCGCAGCCGCCGCCGCCGCCACCTCCTGCCGAGCCCGGAGGAGATCTGGGGAGAAGGGAAGCGCTGAGCCCAGGCCCTGCTAACCCTGGGGTCCCCGGTATCCCCCCCCCCCCCTTCCCCCCAGGCACCCCCCCCCCCCCCCCCCCCCCCACTTCTTCCCCCATCTCTGCTGTCACGCGGCGCTCACTCGGCGGAGCAGAGCCGCCTCCACCTCCGCAGGAGTTTGGCAGCAGAGGAAATTGTGCAACTCCAAGAGAAGCAGGCGGGGGGGGG